TTGATAAAACACAAAACAAGTGACAAAGTTGACATGATACTTCGAATCAAAATGATGTTGGACGCATCAAGTGGTATTTTGTATTTACATGAAAACGCCATTTTACATCGAGATATCAAACCAGACAATTTCCTTGTGTTTTCATTAAATTTAAATGATAAAGTAAATGCTAAATTGACTGATTTTGGAAGTGCAAGAAATGTAAATTTGTTGATGAGGAACATGACTTTCACCAAAGGTATTGGTACACCAATGTACATGTATTAAAACAAGAAAAACACACAAAATATGCGGACGTCTTTTCGTTTGGCATAACTGTATCTGAAGTGTTTAAATGGTGTGAAGCGTATTCAAATGAGAATTATAAGTTTCCTTGGAAAATAGCTGATTTTGTAATGTCAGGAAAACGGCTTGAAAGAAAAGAAAACATTCCAGAAACCCCGTTTAAAGTGATAGAAATGTGCTGGGTACAAGAAAAGGCAAATAGAGTATCTATTGATAGAATAGTTAATTTACTTACTTTGTAATTGTCTTGTATTTATTTTTGACTAATAAAAAATAAGTTGATATTTATTGTTTGTTTTTTTTTAAATAAAATAAAAACACAACATATTCAATTTTTTGTACATCAATGTCTTTATAATATATATATATAATCAGACATATATTTACACTACAAAATCGTTTTAATTTTAAATAACACAATTTATAAATAAACTTGATTGTAATTAATGTAAATCAGTTTAAAAAATTAAACATGACTTTTGATTTAAAAATTTCAGTAGATAATTTTAATATTTTGATTTTAACACAAAATTGTTTTTTTCCATTTATAATTAAAGGAAAAAACCAAATTGATAAAATTGAAAAAACTGATATTTGTAAAAACGGGAAAAAACAAAAATAATATTTAAAAATATTATTAATTTATTAAAAATGTCAATACAATATGAGTTTTATGACGTACAACACATTCGTTGTTCCTTAAGTAATACAAAATTTCATTCATTATATCCTTATCTTTGATAATATAATAAATCAAATTAAAAATATAACAATTAAAACGTTTTACTAAATAATAATAGTATTTATTAATAATTAATAATTAATAAAAAGTAAAAAGTAAAATAAGTACGAAAATCGAACAAACACAAAACAATAAACTGGAATTCAAAAGTCGACAGCACTTATTTTAATTTGGTCTATTTTAATGCAAAACATTGGGAAACACACTATTCTATTTATATTTTGAATTGACTTTCGATTTCAGTATATTGAGAAATAAACAAAGGAAAAAACGTTTACATATTTTAGTAAGTTTAATACACTTATTAATCAGTTGATTCCAGAGCTATTGAACTAAAGGTGGAGTAAATTAACAACGACTTTACACCACTAAAGGTGTGAACTAAAATGAATGTTCAGTAGACAACTGCTGTTCAAAAAATTTTATTGTGAATATCAAACGGCTGTTTGTCCGGTTGTTTATTCCAATTTTAAAGTTTGTTATTTCAATAAATGCTAACATTTTTAGGAAAGTGGTTTTTGAATGAAGTTCTTTATGTGTGTTCTGACAATTGCGATGAAGGTTATTTTAACAACAATACAACCACTACTTCATTCAAATTTAAGAAGACTTAGCGGAATGCCACAATTACACTGTTGGGAATAAATGCATCTTTTAGACAACAAACTATTATTTGTTTGAAAACACTGGAAATATGTTACAAACACCAGATGTCTTTTTGGTTACTACAAAGAGTCAACAACAGCATCTTGTTAGAAGCGCAAAATCTGGAAGCAATTGTTTGGTGTGTGAGACGTACTCAAAGTTTTTGTCTTGTATTGACAGATTCAATTTGGTCAATGAAGGAACGTGTTTTGCATGAAATACAATTGTTGTCTATTGAAACTGCAAATCGGCACTGTGTGTATCACGTGAACAACTGAAAATTTCAACCAGACAAAATTTGCAAAAAGAATGTCCAGAAGCGTATTTCGCAAATGAAAATGTGTGTACTGTTTGTGTTGAAATTTACTAGACATGTAATGAAGAAACCTGGTGCATTGTTTGCAAAGACGATGCCTGGATTATTGAATCCACCAAAAAGTGTGTTAAAGACAGTTGTATAGAAATGTATTAAAAAGAAAGTGTCAAGAAAATGTGCAAGAGATGCAAATAGTTTACAAATTCGACTGATTGTCAAGAGTTTGTTGCACCAAAAATGATAGAAGGAGGAACAATGAAGTGTGTTAAAATGTGTAATAGATTCTTTAATATTAACAACCAAAAATGCAATAAGTGAATGGATAAATTGAAAGATGTTCACAACAAAAGAAAAATGCGATAAGTGTAAAGAGAACTTTTTTATTTCAGAAGACACTTATAATACGCAGTGCAAAAAGGGCAACACTGGATGTGAAGTTTGAATGAACAAAAGTGGTTATTGTGAATTTGTGTTGCAGCTTTGGTATTTGTCTTGATGATCACATTCTAAGTTACTTTTTGGTTGATTATGGTTCATAAATCGGTGTTAAACAATAACAATTCAAATTGATTATGTAATTATCATAATTGCAAATTACAAACAATGGCAATGAATTTTTTTAATTTAATATGTTACTAATAAATAGATTTAGCTTAATTTATAAGTCTTAATCGTATATTAAGGAGAAGGTACATTTTGCATCTCCATCTCTAAAAATAGAATTTATTTACTATTTGATATAATTATAATATTAAAAATATAGTAAATAGGAATTATAGTTCATATTTAATCTGATTTATGAAATAAAAACTTGCAGAACAGTCAGTGGATACCGAGTGATATGGTGCTTTGATAATAAGGCTTATAAACCGCACTCAAACAGTACTTTATTGAAACTTTATTTTTGTTAAAATTGTTGAAAAAGCAAATCCCAAATATTTACAATTACAACTGTATATTATAAATCATAGTAAATTAAATTATTAAATAATTATAATAAAAATGAAATTTATAATTAATAATAATGGCAACTTATATATTGATAAGGCAATAAAAAAACAAATATTAGACCCTACGACCAGGATCATTCTCAGAGTATGTCACTTTCTTTTGACAAATAGAATCCACAATATAGGATGAAGACTTTTTAACATTTTTGTACCAAATGGAGATACGCAGCAATATAATAAGAAATTTTCAAAAAGCATTTGTGGTCTAAGGGCAGAATTCCACCCTTCCAAGGTGGAGATCCGGGTTCGAGTCCCGGCAAATGCATTTTTATTTATCAAACAAATGGGTACCAATTTTTCAATTTTAGTGTTATTATCTTGTGATAATTGAAAACTTCACATTTTCTTTTTTTATCAACTTTATATCAAACACTTTATTAACACTTTTAATGACACTTTTGGGTTTAATGATTTTAATATTTTCTACTCAATTTCTGTCAATTCAAATGCACTATGAATTTAATTAGACCAGACTTTAAATTTATATTAAAATTAAAGAATTTTTAATTGTATTCAAAAAAACAATAAAAACAAATGATTATTTTAAGGCAAAAACAGAACTTTTCCCTTTTGATAACTTCTGTTGTTAAGTGCGAGCAATGGACAGTTTTTCACGACTATCTGCACGCCTTTAATTTTTCCAATAAGTCGTTTCAATGTCTTGCACGATTGCACGTGTATCTTTGAGACATTTTCCCCAACAATTATTTCCTCCAAATTGTCACACATTTTTACTACAAATTTTTCGACATTTTTATTACAAACAACTTTCTTGCACTTTGCCCAACTCACACGCGTCTTTTTCTTTTGCGCCACAAATACATTTTTCTTATATTTATTTTTTTCTTCGTAATTTCTATTTATTTTTAAAGACTTTGTACCGATTATTTTCTTGAAATCAATATTTTTCAAATCAACAAATTCGGTCTTGTCGTTGAGTATCAATTTGTCACCACAAAACTTGACACTTTTTTTCAATATAAACGCGTTTTGCAGGCAAGTCGGATAAATTTATTATATATGCCGCTTTCATCACATAAATTACAACATTTTCATTGACATAAAATTCAAAATTATAGATATTTTATATAAAAAGCACACAAATTGACATGACCAAATACCTCCGCCTTGTTACAAAGTTTTGAGGTCTCACACTTTTCTTTATCTTTTATAAGTTTTGAGTACTTTTCTTTTGAGTATACAATATATATATACATTCACCAACAACAGATTCAACTTCTCCACAAACGACTCTGACACAACAGTCTGAAGTTATAAAAACGCGCTTTGCCTTCTCAATATATATTTCGTTGATTTTATTAATTTCGCTGTTGTTACAAATTTTTACATCAAAATTTTCAAAAGACGGAATTATATTGGCATTTTCAAAAGTCACCATCATGAGTTTTCCATTGGTAAAAGTTACTCCATTCATAACATTGAGTTCATCTTCATTGTCATAATTTTGATTATTGTCAAACTCAAGCAAGCACTCATTTAAAATGTATTTAGGAACGTTTTTAAACTGCACCAAATGTGATTTTGATATTTTCAAAATTTTTTCTAAAGACGTGTAAATATCAGGATTAGTGAGGTACCCAAAAGAAGTTTTCATTTTGAACGTGTCAATTTGTCTGTTTGTAGTATACATATAAACTTTATCGCAACGCCAAAAGTCGACATTTCTAAATTCACAATTTGACATTACAAAATTTGTGCAACTCCGATTTTTCATATCATTAATAATACAATTTAGAAGGAAAATGTTATTTATTTCAAAAGTTGTGAAACGCATTATGTGATACTTTGTGTGATTTTCAATGCTAGTGTTGTTCGATGTTTTCAGTTTAATCTCGTAAATATATCCAAATATGTCAATTTTAATATGTGAAGAATAATGGCAACATAATGTGTCGACTGCACTAATTAAAATATTAAGATTTCTGCACTTCACAAAATTTATTCTCATTGCAAATATTTTTGATATT